AGGATTGTCTTTTTTTTACTTGTCATATGTCTTCATGCCAAAACGATTCAATCTTTTGAAAAACTTTAATTATGTGTGCACCATAAAATGAATTAAAATAAAACAGACAAGGTCAAACGGGTTTAGTTTTCTCCTTATGATTGTCTTTTTCTATCCCGAATGACCTTATCTACCTATACTTGTCCAAATGATTCTCGTTATCTATTTCCTCCAGTTTCTTTTTCATCTAAGTTACCAAAAACTTAAGAGTAATGGGGGGAAAAAAAACCTACCTCTGGTGAACGCACTCTCTTTCTATGAAGCATCCACGACGGGGGTTCGTATGTTTTTGAGTCGGCCCTGTTATCGACTTGGAGTGGACCCAATTCTTTGAGGGTGGTACTTTGTTGACTCGGTGGTGACAACCCAACCTCTGAAATCCGGGTTTTCAGGCTCAGGCGAGGGGGAGGAGTATCCACAAACCACTTCCTCGGGGGTTAGGTGTGTGAAGGCGCAGAGTGGGTTAACCCTCGTCGATGAGCTGAATTAATATCCTTGCGGGTGGTCACTTTAGGTGCCACCGTTAGAATTAAAAGTTGAAAACTGAAGAAGCTCCAGCCCGTGAGAAGAAGTAGGTAATAAAGGTGATGGTTCTCTTTGAGCAGTGATAACGACTGCAGTTTGGTTTTGGGTAACCAGATGATGCAGATGGATATTTCATCATTCGAGGAAACAGAAAGAGTAATTATTATCCAGGAGGACAAAGCGACGAACAAAATTTTTATTTGCTAGATAATATTTTTTCTCCAAACAAACTGCATATGATATAGAGGTGTGGTCAAACCGAGAGTTCAAACTTCGGTCAAAAGCCAAATTACTTGTTGATCTGCATGGTAGCAGTGAAATTTACTTGCAGAAGTCATTCCTGACAGTGTCGACAAACCCAACCGTAAGTCAAAGGATAGGTTGTCCTACTTAATCTTTCATCAATATTGAGCCTTCGCCTCGAAAACAGTGGTATAATAATCTCTTCAGTCATATAGGCCGGAAATAATAATTTTGAAAGATCATCTATTCAAGTCAAAATCATATCCTGTGAAATTTGATAAAAGTGTATTGATTTTATTTATTATGTGATCAGAGAATTATAAAGGGACTGAGATTGTATTGTGGGTTTGACGTTTGGTTGAGACCGTCCTAGTCGACCGACATTCGTTTCATACCTAGGAGATCAGCGTCATCAACAACGTTCGGGTCCACTTGGCGGTAACCAAGTGTACCTATACTCCAGCGAACGAGCAAACGCCTCGACTGACCTACCTCTGCAGTTGCATGTAAAAACTTTCGCACGTGGGTCAGTAGCTCGGTAGGGATACGCCCCTGAGGGTGGTGACATCCCCTTAGGGAAGACAAGATGTGTCCCGTGGAAACCTTTCATGTTGTAGGGGACCGTGGGATGTACAGTTGGCGCACCCAACTAGAGCGGCGAAGGGACAGTGTGACTAAGGCCGTCTCGGTGACTCCCGGGGTTACTATGCGTTTGTCCCAAGTTGACTCTCATTTTGTTTTTGTTTACTCTTGCGTGACATGACCGGGAGGGTTCCCGCACCTTTGTGAAAAAGGCGGGAGCTGATGCGCTCGACAGCGTGAAACACCATCGGTCGGCCTACCTCTGCGATTGTATACGAAAAACCTTCGCATGCGGTTCAGTAGCTCAACGGGGATACGCCCACCTATGGGATGGTGAAAACTCCCACAGGTGGAGGAAAGTTGTACCTCCTGTGACCCTATCTTGTCGTAGGGGTTCACGAGAGGTGTGGTTGGCGCACTCGGCCGAAGCGGCAACGGTCTGCGAGATAAGTTATGCAAAATCCTGCGTGACGAGGTCGGGAGGGTTCCCCTAGCGGGACAAATGTGTTCAACACCGTTATTTGCAGCTCGAAGAGGATACGCTTTGCAAATTCAGATGTTGCTTCCTCGGCCCATGTCGCATCCTTCATGCCGTCGGTTCTGATACTGTGGCTAGTCCTGTCAACTTTTGTGTGAAGCTGCCGAATTATCTTTGACAGGTTCGTGTACACGATGTCTACCATGTCTCCTTGTTGCGTCCTTACCTCAACCGTTCGACCAATTCGTCGGACGCTCTTTTGGACGCCCTCCACCTACCCTGGTGAACAGTCATGAGGAGTTCGTCGTTTCCAAAATTGTATCTTGTTGAGTTACCGACGATACCCCTCCACGCATCGAGTATCTACTGCGATGAAAGAGATACCTTGATGGGGAGGCTACTTGAGAACCCTCAAACACTTGCAGCACGTAAGGATGCTCGTGCGTGCGTATGATCGTGTTGATCGTGCTAAGATGTCTGCTCCTGGTCAGCTGACTTCCCGTATTCCTTCTCCTCCGGCTGAAGAGATTGTTGAGGACGAACCTACTCCTTTTGAGGTCGTTCTTCAACAGTAGACGAACGCCTCCGCACATCTATGCATTCGTTGATGCCCTCGGCGCTTCGACGACCGACACTCTTATCACCCACGATTTTCTCACTGACTCACACCATCAGGTACTTCATCATCAACTCTTAAGGATATCAGTGTTTTGCGGTTCTGCTTTAACATCGACTCGACTCCTTCTTTTGATGTCATTGACTACTTTCAGGACTCCAACTACTTCACCGATGCTCGCTTATTTGGATATGACTATATCACACCATCATTCTACGATGTACATTTCCTTTTGTATGCTGCATGATGGTACTCATTTAGTTGGTTCTCCCAGAGTTGGGGCTCTCCCTTGGTATCGAAGAGGCATTGAGACCGTAACGTTATTTTGACTTCCTCGCTCTCAAATCTAACTCTCTCTCAGTCGGTGAATTGTGTGCATGTTTCCCTCACTCACTGCTCTCATCACCCTAGTGTCAGTACTTGCATGCCTTTAGTGAGGCATATCCCCCCCATTCCATAAGCGGTTAACAGGGACCCCCACTTTTTAGCCTTGGTTAACCCCCTCAACCCTGAAAAGTGCATCGGAGATTTTTTTTTTTTTTTTTTTTTTTTTTTTTTTGCCCTGTTTTGTTTTTGTCAATGTTTATGTGTGCCAAGTTTGGTGTTTGTTGGGGTCTAGAGTTGACTGTTTTGGCTAGCCATGAAAAATCCTGAAAATCCTGAAAACTGAAATGAGCGAATTTGCATAAAATACACTTTTGCTTTGTTGTTTTATAGGTTTTGAAAGGTTTTTTTTTTTTTTTTTTTTTTTTAAGTAGTTAGTATGATCTCCACTCTATGAATTGGTGGCAAGTTTGGTTAAAATGACCCTTGGGTTTTGTAATAAATGGTCTGATAAGTGGTCTGAAAATTGAAGCCTTCGTTAACCGTCTCTCCCTCCCCCGCCCCAGTCTGATGATCTATCCCACCTTTGTTTGTGAGTGCTCCTATAAGTTTCAATCATTAAGTTGCATTTAGCCCTCTGATACCATCTCACTCTTAGTGGTTTAGCGACACGACATTATTTTGTGCTCATTGCTATCTTTCCTTTTAGCACCGAGGCAGTTGCCTCATGACTTTAGGATTGTATCACGCTACATTCCGTTTCCCTGCTTCTAGTTATAATGTGTATATCATATATTTGTTTTCCCTTATGACATTATGTAGCTTAGGCTGCATTGCATGGACTCCGCATGGAGCCTGCTTCGCATCCTAGATTTGTCAGCTTTATTATTTGTAGAGTTTCACTGCTTCAGCAAATAGCGTGTTTATGACTCTTGTGATCCACTATAGATCTGAAATTTGTGCAGCGGGCCTTTAGCTACCTGGCCTATAGCAGGGCTCTTTGCCTGTCCGGCTTGTGGAACCAGGCCGTTGGCCTGATCTCACAGGCCACATGGATATTCAGTCCAGTTCAGTCCTGCCCGGTACCACTGTCGGTTCCACGCTAGTCCAATCAAGTCCAGTTAGTCCACTGGGGGTATACCCCAAGTGCAGTTTGTATTTCTATTCATTCTTCATTTGCACATTTTGGAGCACGTGCGTGTTGAGTTTGCGTCAGGGCTGCGCTGTCCCCTCCATCTCCATCTCCATCCCCTCCTTCCTCATCCCTTTTTTCTGAGACTGACGGACCGCCATTCAGGCGGGGCCTTCACAGCGGGGCCACCATCCATTCCTTTATTTATGCCATCAACTAGACCCTCCCATCCGTTATGTTGTTAGTTGTCATCAACCAGAGGAGCCCTTGGCCACCATCTTTTCGCTTACCTCTGTCATCACCGAAACATACTCTGGTCTATTTGTCAACGTGGGAAGCAGGCAATCCCACCCGTATCTATCCCCACGACAGCCCCCATTGCAAGTTCCCCCAAGAGTCCTCAACCAGAGCAGCACCGGTCTCAGTCATCAGTACATCCCAGGCCACCATCCGTTCCTTTACCACTATCATCGACTGAGCCTATTCTGGTCCATCCCCATGAAGGCCCTATCTCAGGACTCTCCTACCTGATCCTCCCCACTCACGGGACCCCACCATTCTCCCACCTGCGGCCCTGGGCCCCCAAATCAAAGCCCTAAGGTAACCAACTCACATGATCAATCCCTCCACAATATCCCTCCCTGCATCCCAACTGTCTCTGTTCAATATGATCTGCATGACCCCATCGGACTCGAAACCTCAACCTCTTCTATGCCGTCGTTGGCCCCCTTTCACTTGCAAGCAGAAGCTTACTGGTAGATACTTTGAGTACAAAGCCTGGGCGTTCTAAATGAATGGAGTTGTTTGAAACACCCGTCCGCTGTGCCCCATAGGTGCTGAGGGAATTGCATGCCAGAGTAGCACCAGGTAGGTTCTAGGTTCAACCCCCACTCAGGTCAATCTGGGCGTGGGGCGGTTGGAGGTTGGTGCAGTCAAGCATGGACTAGAGTGGTGCAGAAAAGGCGCACACACAGCTGATCTAATCCCGCAGTAGGAGGGTATCTTGTGGTTGTTCTAGGGAGCTAACTACCTACCGACCAGGTCGGCTTCCAGTTCTAGGGCGCTAACTACCTACCGACGTGGTTTCCGATTTACCAATGATCTTAGGGCCAAAAGGGCGTTACTTGACAACCCCCCTTGTCGGAAGAACCAGAGTTCCGTCATCGGCATCATGGCTGTAAGAGTGCTGGAGCGTTACCCGACCGGGTTTTCAGACATGGCCACGGCTGCACCGCTGCTCGGACTTGTATGCATCTGGCCGCAATTCCGTCCAGAAATAAGTAAGAAGGTCCTATGCCTTCACTCCACGCTCAGCGATCATGACGTTCGTGTCGGTGGAGGGCAGAGCCGCACGGAGGAGGGCAGGGAGGAGGTGCCTCACGTCGCCAGGGCGGGAGACTCCGTCCGGAATGGCGGGAAGCGGAACACGCGGCTGAAAATAAAATAACCAATTTACAACGAAAAGGAAAAGAAGGAAAATAACTCGTCGGTCGACCAATGGCCTTCTCTTCCGTGCTCTTTTTTCTTTTTTTCCCCGCACATTTTTCTAATTTCTTGTTTGGCCATACGTGTAATTCCTCCTGTGCCTGCAAAAAAAAAAAAAAAAAAAAAAAGAGACT